CTGCAGGCCTGGTTCCTTTAACTGTCCTCCCCTGAAGACCTGGTTGCCCTCAACTGCCCTCCCCTGCTGGCCTGGTCACCCCTAACTGCCCTACCCTTCTGGCCTGGTCTCTTTAACTGTCCTCTCTTGCTGGCCTGGCCGCCCCTAACTGCTGCCCCTGCCAACCTAGTCCCTTTAACTGCCCTCCCCTGCTGGCATGGTCACCCCTAATTGCCCTACCCTGCAGGCCTGGTCCCTTTAACTGTCCTGTGAAGGCCTGGTTGCCGCAATGACCACCCTGCTGGCCTGATCACCCCTAACTTTCCTCCTCTCCAGGCCAGGTACCCCCTACCCCAACTTCCCTCTCCTGCAGGCCTGGTTGCTCCTAACTTTTCTCCCCCCAACTGCCATCCCCTGCAGGCCTGGTCACCCCTAAGTGTCCTCCCTTGCAGGCCTAGTTGGCCCCAACTGCCCTCTCCTGCTGGCCTGGTCACCCTTAACTTGCCTCCATTGCCAGTCTGGTCACCCCTAACTGCCCTCCCCTGCCAGCTTGGTTGCCCCTAACTCTCCTCCCCTGCAGGCTTGGTCCCCACAACTGCTCTCCCCTGCAGGCCTGGTTGCCCCTAACTGCCCTCCCTTGCTGGCCTGGTTGCCCCTAATTGCTCTTCCCTAACGGCCTGGTCCCTTTAACTGTCTTCCATTGCTGGCCAGTCTGCCCCTAACTGCCCTCCTATGCCGGACTGGTCCCTTCAACTGCCCTCCCCTGTTGGCCTGGTCCCTTTAACTGTCTTCCCCTGCCAGCCAGGTTGCCCCCAACTGCCCTCCCCTGTGCCCTGGTCACCTCTAATTTCCCTCCCGTGCAGGCCTGGTCCCTTTTACTGCCCTTCCCTGCCGGCTTGGTCCCTTTAACTCTCCTTCCTTGCTGGCCTGGTCCCTTTAACTGTCCTCCCCTATGGCATGGTCTCTTTAAGTGTCCTCTGAAGGCCTGGTTGCCCCCGATGCTCACCTCTGCTGGCCGATAACCCCTAACTTCCCTCCCATCCAGGCCTGATTGCCCCTAATTTTCCTCCCCACAACTGCCATCCCCTGCAGGCCTGGTTGCCCCTAACTCTCCTCCCTTGTAAGCCTGGTCCCTTTAACTGTCCTCCCCCACTGGTTTGGTCGCCCCTAACGTTTCCTACAGGCCAGGTCCCCCCAACTGACCTTCCCTGCAGTCCTGGTCGCTGCTAACTGCCCTCCCCTGCTGGCATGGTCGCCCCTAACTATCCTCCCTTGCAGGCCTAGTCGGCCCCAACTGCCCTCTCCTGCTGGCCTGGTCACCCCTACCTTGTGTCCCTTGCCAGTCTGGTTGCCCCTAACTGCCCTTCCCTGATGGCCTGGTCATTCCTAACTGCCCTTCCCTGCCAGTCTGGTTGCCCCTAACTGCCCTTCCTTAATGGCCTGGTCACCCCTAACTGCCCTTTCCTGTCAGCCTGGTTGCCCTTAACTGTCCTCCTCTACAGGCCTGGTCCTCACAACTGCATCCCCTGCAGGCCTGGTTGCCCCTAATTGCCCTTCCCTGCCAGCCTGGTCCCTTTAACTGTCCTCCCTGAAGATCTGTCGCCCCCAACTGCCCTCCCCTGTGGCCTGGTGACCCCTAACTTCCCTCTCCTGCAGCCCAGGTCTCCCGCACTCCCAACTTCCCTCCCCTGCAGCCCAGGTCCCCCACAGCCCCCCAACTTCCCTACCCTGCAGGCCTGGTTGCCCCTAACCGTCCTCCCCTCAGGCCAGTCACTCTTAACTGCCTTACCCTGCTGGCCTGGTCTCTTTAAGTGTTCTCCCCTGCAGGCCTGGTCAATTTAATTATCCTCCCCTGAAGGCCTGGTTGCCCTCAAATGCCCTCCCATGCTGGCCTGGTCACCCCTAACTAACCTCCCCTGCAGACCTGGTCATCCCTAACTGTCCTCCCTTGCAGGCCTGGTCACCTCTAACTGTCCTCCCCTGCAGGCCTGGTCCCTCTAACTGTTGTCCCCTGTAGGCCTGGACATCCCTAACTTTCCTCCCCTGTGGCCTGGTCATCCCTAACTTCCCTCTCCTACAGGCCAGGTCCCCCCCGCCTCCAACTTTCCTCCCCTGCAGGCCTGGTCCCTCTAACTGTTGTCCCCTGTAGGCCTGGACATCCCTAACTTTCCTCCCCTGTGGCCTGGTCATCCCTAACTTCCCTCTCCTACAGGCCAGGTCCCCCCCGCCTCCAACTTTCCTCCCCTGCAGGCCTGGTTGCTCTTAACTGCCCTCCCCTGCTGGCTTGGTCACCCCCAACTGCCCTCCCCTGCTGGCCTGGTCACCCCTAAATGCCCTACTCTGCTGGTCTGGTCCCTTTAACTGTCCTCTGAAGGCCTGGTTGCCCCCAACTTCCCTCCCCTGCAGGCCTGGTCACCCCTAACTGCCCTCCCCTGCTGGCCTGGTCACCCCTAAATGCCCTACTCTGCTGGTCTGGTCCCTTTAACTGTCCTCTGAAGGCCTGGTTGCCCCCAACTTCCCTCCCCTGCAGGCCTGGTCACCCCTAACTGACCTCCCTTGCAGACCTAGTCAGCCCCAACTGTCCTCCCCTGCTGGCCAGGTCACCCCTAACTTGCCTCCATTGCCATCCTGGTCACTCCTAACTGCCCTTCCCTTCTGGCCTGATCTCTTTAACTCTCCTCCACGTAAGGCCTGGTTGTCCCCAACTGCTTTCCCCTGCTGGCTTCGTCACTCCTAACTTCCCTCTCCTGTAGGCTAAGTCCCCCCCAACTGTCCTCTCCTGTAGGCGTGGTCCTTTTAACTGTCCTCTGCTAAAGGCCTAGTCCCCTCCAACTGCTCTTCCGTGTAGGCCTGGTCACCCCTTACTATCCTCCTCTGCAGGCCTGGTCCCCCTAATTGTCCTTCCCTGCTGGCCTGGTTGCCCCTAATTGACCTCCCTTGCTGGCCTGGTCACCCCTAACTGTCCTCCCCTTCCTGCCATCTTGTGGCAGCCATCTTGTATCCACATTGGGGTGGCCATCTTGTGTGTTGGAATAATGGTCAATTTACATATTACCTCTTTGTTATACAGGAATGTTGTGATGGTTTAAAATATGTTGAATTTTTTTAAAAGGGATGGTTGAGGGGTTTTTAAAATTCAAGATACTGCCATATAAGTGTTTATTAACAAAATTGTTTTTTTTGTATATTATAAACAAAAGATAATGGGAAATTGCCTATATTTATACAACAGTTCAATCAATAAGAGAACTGTGTGGTAAGGCAGTTCTTAAAGGAAGAAAAAAGATACTGCCATATGTGTTTATTAACAAAATTGTTTTTTGGTATATTATAAACAAAAGATAATGGGAAATTGCTTATATTTATACAACAGTTGAATCAATAAGAGAACTGTGTGGTAAGGCAGTTCTTAAAGGAAGAAAAGAGGCAGATAAAATGAAAATTAAATATGAGACTTAAGAGGGCCAGTCTCCAAAAAAGTACATTTGCATGGGTGAGAACAATCAATATAAAGAAAAGTTAGAGACAGGTTCAATGAAGTGGATGTGAAACAAGGCAAGTTGCAGGGATTCTACCAAGGAATAAATAGAAGACTAAAGTCATTCAGCAAAGTATTGTATGTAGGAAATAAAAAACACAAAAATGGATTGAGCAATGGATGTAGAACAAAAAGAGGATCCAAAGAGGAAGGTATTGGTTAACTTATGAGAATGATATATATACTATTTTATATACTATTTAAATGGTTAATAAAAAAGAGGAGGGGGGGGGAACCCCACAAAAAATGATAGGAAAGATCATGTGATGAACAACATACTGAAAAACAAGATTTGGGACTTTCATTGTATCTAATGGAACAAGAATACAAATGATAGAAACTAAGTAAAAAGAGCACTGTATGGACTACCCTGTTTCCCCGAAAATAAGACAGTGTCTTATATTAATTTTTTTCTCCCAAAGTTGCGCTAGGTCTTATTTTCAGGGGATGTCTTATCTTTCCATGGGCTAGGTCTTATTTTTGGAGGATGTCTTATTTTCGGTGAAACACGGTAGATACTTATCTCAGAGTAACTAGAGTAAATACAGGGTCAAACAGCTTTACAAAAAAGGAGACCCAGGAATCTGAGCGCAATACAAATAGTGAATAAAGCGAGGAAATGGACAGAGGACTGAAGATGAGCCAAAGGTATTGAGGAAAGTGAAGGGAGGATAGAAACAAGACAGAAGGCAGCTATATGCCCTGGGGTGGAGAAAAAGGTAAAGTGGAAAAGATAGGTTGACCTGTATATTTAATCCAATTCCAAACAAAGGAGGCAAAAATGTTTAAGAAAAGATCAAGAAGACTTGACATGAGGAAAAGGGTACCATGGGATGGAACTGAAAAGTGTACATCCATAACTAGAAGGAACTTCTAACTTTTTCAGAAAGATGGTGCAGAACCAGTTATGGAATTGGGCGGGATGAGCAGGCAGTTAAATATGGCAGAGAAGAGAAAGAATGGATATGTGAAACTAGAGTTACACATAGGACTAAAGGAGTCTCTGAGGAACGAACAAACAAACAAACAAACAAAAATAAGATGAAATGTCCTCATTTGGACTGGGGTTTGGGCATTTCAGATATGAAAGAATATCTGAATATGAAAGGGAATGTGGTGGGTCCAAAAGGACAGTGTCAGGACAGGGTCGGAGTGGTGCCAATGCTAGGTTTTTTTTTTCAGGAAAAAGTGTCATTGGCAACCGATGGAAGGGTAAGAGGCATGAAAGGAAAATGCTCATTCAGGGGGTCAGGTTGGGCTTCCATAGCAGTGATTCTTCCTGGGGGTTGGGGGAATGAGTTTCACCCTTGGGGGTGGTGTGCATGGCCCTCCAGGGAAGCCTATCACACTGTCTGGAAGAGGAGCAATGCTCTGCTTAGAACAAAAAACAAAACAAAAACAAAAACAAAAAACACACACAAAAACACACTCCAAAGATATTGCTGATAGGCCGCCTTGGAGGTCATGCACCCTTGGTGAGAATCGCTGGGCAGAGAGGAGAGCTGGGCAGAGAGGTGAAGCATGAGCAGATGAGCAATTGAGTAGGAGAGGGGGAGGCATCAAAGTCAAGAATGTCAGAATGTCAAAGGACCCTGGGCCAGGCAGGTAGTAAGCAAATGGATATAGCAGAAGAGAAATGTGGTGGGTGGGCTGGGATTCACCATTAATTCATAGGGAGTGAAGCGCCAACATAGTATGCCTGAGGTATAAGGCTGGGAGAGATGGGAGTGGTGAAGGGAGTTGGGTTTGTGTGGATATGAGCAGAGAGCTCCATGCAGGACAGGTGGAAGGGGCAGATGGGATGGAAGAGAATGAATGCCTGCAGGGAGGAAGAGAGAAGGGGTGGACGGCAGTACCCTGGGCTCTGTGCAGGTTGAGACCGACTGCCTTGGTATCAGGTGTAAGGTTGGCAGGTAGAGGCATGAGAGAGGGCAAAAGGCAAAAGTTCTGTGGGAACAGGAATATAGTAGGAGAGTAAAAGCCAGAAGCTTCCCAGGAGCTGTCAGAAAGTATACAACAAAGTGGTCTGAACGGAAACATAGATGGTTACAAGGAGTGACATCTGCAGGTCCCAGTAGTAAAGCACAGGGCATGAGCAGGGGTTGGTGGGTGGAGCATGGGGATTCAGTACAGTATGTCTGAGACAATGGCTACTGAATTGGGATGAGGAGTGGGTGGGGGATCTGAGACTACTGAATCCAGCTTGTGAATTCATGGGTAGTAGCTGAAAGATTCTCACATGGCTCAGGTAGGACAGTTCCTTTGCTCTGTATGCAGTAGAGAATCAAAGCAGGAGAGAGGATGAACCCAGGCCCAAGAGGTCAAGATCAGGTGAGCAGATTCAAACCCTGGGAGAGCGTGCTAGGGCTGTGTCCCAATGGGACAAGGCAGCGAGAAAGGGCAGGTGATGGCAACTTGCATCTATGACAGGAGAGGTTTACTGAGAGGTTCAGGGACCAATGAGCCAAGAGCCCCAAAGAGGGAGTAGACATGAAGAATCTAGGTATTTTTTCCACAAAAGTGGAACCAGGGCATGCGGAAGCCCACGCAGGAGGAAGAGAACAGTGCTGGTAAAGCAGTCCAGGCACTTGGGGGAGGTTGGAGGAGCCAGAGGATAGAGATAGTGGCCAGTGGAAAATGTGGGGACAGCTCTGGCAGGGAATGGCAGGGTGAGAAGATGAAAGGTAAGAGTGAAGCCCAGAGAAGCAACTGTCTCCAGAATGGTGGACTTGATAAGTAGACTTGGTAGAGTGCTTAGGAGTTACTTCAGATGGCAGGTGGATTCAGTAGAGTACGCTGGGGAAGAAGATGCTGGCAACCGGGGCAGTATGAACACAAGTGAAGAAAGAGGGAAGCAGATGTTAAGGAAAAGACAAGTGAATTCGTGGGATGATTGGCAGGTGATGAGGGAGATGGTCAGGGGAGCAGAGGGGAAGGGAATGGACAAACAGCAGGGACAAAGGGAAAGAACTTCACAAACATGGGAGGGGCTTGGTGTCAGTAAAAGGGAAATGGGAAGGTGGCTTGAAGAGCTCTCAACCTGGGGACATCAGTTGTTGGCCTGGTGACCGGGCCAGCAGGAGAGGGGAGTTGGGGCCGATTAGGCCTGAAGGGAGGACAGTTGGGGGCAACCAGGCCAGCAGGGGAGGACAGTTAGGGGTGACCAGGCCAGCAGGGGAGGGCAGTTAGGGGTGACCAGGCCAGCAGGGGAGGGCAGTTAGGGGCAACAGTGGTGCATCTGAGGTATTGAGACCAGACTAAGGAGCAGAGCAGAGGTGAGAAGTAATAGCCTGGGCATTTGAAGACTAAAGGCCTTCAGGAGCACATGGGCAAAGGGACAACACTGACTGATGTGAAAGAGAAACAGGCTGCATTGCACATTAAGACTGACCCTGCACAGAAACCATGGCAGGTAACCTTAGGGATTGAGATGCGTAATAAATACACATGAAAACGGGAGGGGAGAGGATGGAGAGAAGAGGAGGTGACATTTTACAATGATGACCAAATCCACAACTTGGATTTGGGAGAAGGCTAAGGAATAATAAGCATAAAAGGAAGGTGATGGCTAGAATAGTGAAAGGACCCGATGAGAGGCAGCAGATGGCTTCAGAAAGAACACAGTATGATGAGGGGATGGAAAGAGTGAGCAGTTACAGCAAGTCATAGGAGAGAGCACAACCCTATGTAAATAAATGACAGGCACTAGGGAGCTTTGAGATCCATAAGCCCTAGAAAAGAGGCAGTGCCTTCCTTGGGCCAATGTGGGAAAGAGAAGAAATGGATGGTATAGCAACATGAAGGAATGCCCAAATGGTTTTGATGTAGCAACATGCGAGGGTCAATTCCAGAAAAAGACAAGGTGATGGGAGTTACCCAAGAAAAGGTGGAGAGTAGAGTGTTGTGGAAGGGAGACAGGCTGGACACCAAGGGGAGTGAAGAGAAGAGGGATATGGCAGAGGAGGCATCCTGAGATTCAGAGGTGCCAACCAGAAGGAAGTGCAGAACTTTAAGGCCAGCCAGTGCAAGCAGCAGCATAGGGAAGGAGGAGCAGGAAAAGGGTGGCTAGCAAGGATGATTCTGCAGCTGAGTGCTGTAGCAAGGATAGAACCTTCTGGCCAGGCTCTTTACTATGGATCCGGTGGGGATGGGGTGGGAACAGGTGATGGGTGAGGAAAGGATCCAGGTTTGGATATAGGTCTGGTTTGATAGGAGGGCAGGGTTGGGATTGATAAGCTTTGGGGTGGGGATGGGAAACATGAGCCAAACTCCTGTCTCAGAGAAACCATCTTCTTTTACTGAGCTTATAGACTGATTCCAAATTGTGTTGGGGGTGATGACTAAAGGTTATAGAGAGTGTGGGGGAGTCCACCCAGAGAGGACATAGGAGAATGGTTGCAGGTGGTGGTGGTGGGGGAGGGAGAGAGGGAAAGTCTGGCTGGCGGGAAACAAAGGGATGTGAGGACCATAGGGACAAAACTCTGCAGGAGGACAAAGTCATGGACCTGAAAAGGAGGGGTAACTTAGGGAAAGTACTAAGAAGGACAGATTTGGATCAAAGATATGGTCATAATTTAAGAGTCTTAAAGGAGGGGGGCAGGAAGAGAGAGTATCAGGGTGTGTGTGTGTGTGTGTGTGTAAAGAGCAATGTTCTAATGCAGACATTAGGTTTGGGGCATGTTGGCTATCAAAGGGTAAATACGGGAAGGAACGTGATGGTTCCATGAAGATAGTGCCAGGACAATGTGAGAGTGGGGGCCAATGCAGTGAATTTGAGGAAAAAATGTCAATGGCAACTGATGGAAGGGTAAGAGGCATAAAGGGTAAATGCTCATTCAGGGGGTCAGGTTGGGCTTCCACAGCAGTGATTCTTCCTGGGGGTAAGAAGGGGTGAATTTCACCTGAGGGGGGACAGTGGGCATGACCCCGAAGGGAGGCCTATCACACCATCTGAGGAGGGAGCAGTGCTCTGATCAATACAACAAAACCAACAAAATTCAAAAAGAAAACACAAAAACACAACCCAGAGGTGTTGATGAGAAGCCACCTTGGGGGTCATGCACCCTCGGGTGAAAATCACTGGGTGGAAGGGGCAGAGAAGAAAGCTTGGCAGAGAGGTGAAGCATGAGCAGATGAGCACCTGAGTGGGGGAGGGGGAGGTATCAGAGTTAAGAATGTTAGAATGGGGTCAAAAGGATCCTAGACCAAGCAGACAGCGAGCAAATGGATGTAGCCGTGAAGGCACCTGGGGCGGGGGTGGGGTGGGGGGGGGGGGGGGGGGGGTTGGGATTAGGGACTGGAGCACTAACATGATGTTCCAAGGATACTTGAGGAGTAGGGTTGAGTTACATGGTAGTGGCTAGTGAATGGGGATATGTGGATGTGAACAGAGAGCAAGGATGCCCACCTAAAGGCAAGGCGAGGCAGGGCAGGAGATACTGAAGGAGAACATCTGGGAGAGAGATGACTGCTGGGAAAGGAAGGAGAGAAAGAAGAGCAGTACAAAGGGCTCTATGCAATTCGAGACCGAGTGCCTTGGTGTCAGGTGTGGGGTTGGTAGGTATTGAAACAAGAGGGAGGACTGAAGGCAAAAGTCCTGTGGTGACAAGAAAAAGAGGAGAGTCGGAGGAGGCTTCCAGGAGCTGTGTCCAAAGAGTGTGCAACAAAGTGGTCTGAATGGAAACATGAAATGTTAATGGGGAGTGACATTTGTGGGTCCCAGGAGGAAACTACAACTGTTCCACAGGGTATGAGCTGGGGTTGGTGCATGGAGCGTGGGGATACAGTACAGTATGTCTGAAGCAATGATGACTGAATTGGAATGGTAGTGGGTGGGGATCAAGAAGGGACACATAGCAGAGCAGACTACTGAATCCAGCCAGAAGACTCACAGACAGTAGCCTAAAGAATGTCACATGGCCACGGAGGACAGGGCCTTGGCCATGTATGCAGTACAGAAGCAAAGCAGGAGAAGCTCTGAACCCAGGTGTTCTCTTTGAACACTAGGAAGGAGAGTGTGTTAAGGGGTGGGTGGTCCAATGGGCCAGAATAGTGAGAATGGGCAGGTGGTGCTGCCTCTCAGCACAGGAGAGGCTTGGTGAGAGGATCCTGTGCTGAAAGGGATGGCGAAGAATAGGAAGGAGGGAGTGAATGTGGAGAAAGCAGATACTTTGCCTCAGGGACTTTGGGCGAGACTCATATGGATGTTTAGCAGATATGCAAAAAAAAAAAAAAAAAAATGGTGGAGGAGCTAATGGGAACATAGGCAGGAGTTGCATTTCGCGATGAGCACCTGATGCATGCATCTACTGTACTAGGGGCAATGATGTGTGGAGGTCTACTTGCAGCTGAAAGACTCCTCATAGAAGTAGGAAGAATGTGGGAACTTTAAAAGCTGTGGTATGTTATAGATCCAGTCTGAGAAGATAATGTGGACAGTAAAGAGGCACAGAGGGACATAGCAAAGGATGGTATGTCAGCGGGTTGGGGACAGGCTCTTGTTGAAAGCTGGATCCAGTGGGCAACAAAGGAGGCAAGTTAGAATGTGATGGAGAACAAGGGAGGGGTCTAACTTCTGACGTGGATCTTTTGAGGGGATCATGGCCAAGAGGAAAGAGGGAAAAGGGGGGAGGAGGGGCAGGGTTCTGGTCAGTGTCCACAGAGAATGGAGGTCAAGGGTGATGGCAAGGGATGCATAAGGGGCCTGAGGGAGGAGAAATGGAAGCAATGGAGGTGAGGGAAGGAACAGGAGAAGGGTGTGGCAGGACTGACTATAAAGTCCTCTGGGCAAGGGAAGAGGAAGAAAAGTGAGACAGGGTAAGGTTAGAGAAAAGGGAGCCTAAAGGAAAGGCAGTGCCTGGACCAGTGAAAGAACCTAATAATGGGTGACAGCAGATGGTTTCAGGAGAGAGTGTGGCCTGTGGGGGATGGAAAGAGAGTGAGTAGTGAGAACTAGTCAGAGGAGGGAGCACACACCCCTGTGAAGGGAAGACACAATATGACTAAATGATAAGTACTATGGGCCTTTGAGATGCATAGGCCCAGGAGAAGAGATGGCATTTTCCATAGACCCAGTAGGAAAGGGAGCTATGTTGTGTGAGAAACAGTAGCAGGAAGGGATTTCCAATGGGGCCTTCACGCTGCCCTAGTGAAGAGTCACCTCCCAGATACAGACAAAATGATAGGAGGCATCCAGGAGAGATGGAGAGTGGAACGAAGTTGAAGGGAGACAGTCTAGACAACAACAGGGGGATCAGAAGAAAAGGGAAGTGGCAGAGTAGGCACCCTGGAAGATCTCAGATGAGCCAACCAGAAGGAAGTTCAGAGTTTCCGTGTGAGCCAGCATAAACACCAGTATGGGGAAGAGGAGGAGTGGAAAAGGGATGGCTAGCAGTGAGTGCATAAAAGCAGTTGCTCTTGTGACCTTGAAAGTTGTGGCAAAGGGAGAACTTTTCCGCCAGGCTCTTTAATAATACGGATCCGCGGGGGTAGGGTAGGGTAGAGGGTGGGGATGGGGTGGGAGGCAGGGATGGGGGGTTACTGGAGAGGTGGGAGCTACATTGAGGAGCAGGGTTTATTGGGGTTCAACTGGAGGGCAGAGTAGGGATCAATGGGGATTGGGATGGGTGGGAAATATGAGCCAAACTACAGGCTCTGAGGAAACCTTCTTTAATGAGTTTGTGGACTGATTCCATGTCAAGTGGTGAGGGTGATGATTATGGGCTGAGGAAAGAGTGGAGAAGACCAGAGAATCCACCCAGAGCAGGCACAGGAGAGTTACTCCAAAGTGGGGGGCGGGAGGGGAAAGGTCTGGTTGGCAGAAAACACAGAGGGGTGTGAGGACAACTGGGGCCAAGAATGACAAGATTTGGACCCAATATATTGTCACAATTCCTGAGAGTCATCAAGAGTGTAGGGCATGAGGGCTATTTGGAAGAGGGGTGAAAAAATGCTGTGATGCAAACTGGGGTTTGGGGTATGCAGGGTATGAAAGAATAAATATGAAAGGGAATGTGGTGGTATCAATAGAATAATGTTGGGAGGATGCCAGAGTGAGATTGGGAATGCTGGGATCCTTTAGGAGCAAATATCAACAGTAAATTATTAAAGGCGGGAGGGTGAGTACAGCCCAGGAGTCAGGTTGGGCTTCCACAGTGATTCTTCCTAAGAGGGAGGAGGCAGGGGGGAGGGGAGTTTCCCCCCTGGGGGGTGGGGGTGGGCATGACCCCCAATGGAAGTCTTTCACACCATCGGCAGGGGAAGCAATGCTCTGTTCAAAATAACAAAACAAAACAAAATTCCCAAAAGAAAACACAAAAACACCCAAAGATGTTGCTGAGAGGCCGCCTTGGGGGGTCATGCACCCTCGGGTGAGAATCAGTGGGTGAAAGGGACAGAGGAGAGCTGGGCAGAGAGGTGAAGCATGAGCAGAGGAGCCCCTGAGTGGGGGAGATGGAGGCATCAATGGGGTCAAAGGACCCTGGACCAGGCAGACAGTGAGAAATCTCCTGGAAGGATACAGGAGAGGGTGTTGGTATTCACCTGGAGTGAGGAGGGAGTGGAGCACCAAGATTTGGTCTTAGAACTGAGGCCTTTTGAGGAGAAAGACTGAAGGAGACACAAGTGACCAACGGGGAAATTTAGGATGGACTGATGTGATCAGAAAGCACCTGATGGGCTGTAGAGCACAAAGAAGGCCTAGTTGGGACTGGAGACCACACTGAAGATAATCTAGGGGAGAGATACGATGGCTGGTAGAGAAAGTAGAAATGGAGTGGTTGACAGCAGAACTTAGGGCTCTGTGGAGGTCGAGACTGAGAGCCTTGGTGTTGGGTATGGGTTAGCGGGCAGGGGTGGGGGTGGTGTTGGGTATGAGTTAGTGGGCAAGAGGGAGGGCTAAAGGTAAAAGTGCTAGAGTGATAAGGAAAAGATAAGAGAATCAGAGGACTAGGCTCCCCAAAGGCTGTGTCCCAGGAATGTGCAACAGAGGGGTCCCAGTGGAGAAAGGAAAGGTCACGGGGAACCATGTTTGCCTCCAGGGAGGAAATCACACTGCGGGTTCATAGGATGTGAGCAGAGGGCATCGGGCAAACATGCTGATGCAGGACAGTATATTGAGGCCAAGGAGACTGCACTGGGCTGTGAAGAAGATGGGCAATGACTTAAGGAGCACACAGAACATTATGGGTTTCGGCCAGGAGATGCACAGACTGTGGCTGCAGAAATGCCACATGGCTCAGGAAGGACAGTTGTCTTGCCAGGTATGAGGTAGATAAGCAAAGCAGGAAAGATGACGAATTCAGGCCCAAGAGGTACAACATCAGGAGATCAGATTCGAACTTTGGGAGAGTGTAGTAGAGGGGCCATGTTCCAAGGGAACAAAGAGAAAGGACAGGAGATGGCACCTTGCAGCGAGGGCAGAATAGGCCTGAAAAAATTAGGGAATACACTGTACTAAGAGAGGGATGATACAATGCCTGAAAGAGGGAGAGAAAGTGGGGAATTCAGGAACTCTGCTCCCATGAATGGACCAAGGGTATGAAGAAGGCCATTCAGGACAGTGTGGAGAGGTTAATGAGAAATAGGCGAGTAGATGAGGTGTAAAGGTAGTGGCCCACTGAAATCATTAGGGACAACCCTGTAAGTCAGGGGATGATGAAAGGTAGGTCAGATTGGAGTTTAGATAGGTAAGGACCTTTTCCAGGACCCAGCAGGACTGGAAAAGGTAGGATGCATGGGGTGAATTGGAATAGAAGATGGATTCTGTATAGCACTTTGAGGACCAAAAACTTTGCAACAGGAAAAATATCAGGGCAGGTTAGAGGGAACCAATATCAAAGAAAAAAAAATGAATCCATCCCAGGTTAGGCAGGTTGTGGGGAAAGTAGGATGAGAAATTGAAGATAAAGTTGAGGCATCTATTGAAGATGATAGAGATAAAGCAGAGGATGTGTAAAGCAAGATTCAGTCCACACCTAGAAACAGAGAAACAGTGGAGTCTTGAAGCCACGATAAGGAGATCAGCAGAGTGAGTTATCTCAGGGAAGAGAAAGGGACAGGCATTTCAGAAGAGGGGAGAGAATCTTATGATTATGTAAGGGAATAAGTCATTATTGGGAAGGCAGAAAATGGGAAGGTAGGCTGAACAACTGCCACATCTGCAGAACTCAAGGGGAAAGAAAAGTGGCATGTGTGGTATTGAGACCTGATGTAGGACTAGAGCACAGCAGACTGTAACGACATAACCTGGACATTTGAAGATCAGGAGCAAGTAGGGAGAGGGCTTCTATGATTGTGGTGAGAAAATGGGGCACACTGCACATTTAAATGGACCCAGCAGGAACCATTGGCAGGTAATCTCAAGGACATCTGGATGGACTCACATTGATGGAGTCTAGTATTTGGGTAGCAAATATGCTTAGAAATGGATGAGCAGACAGGAATCAAGGAGGTGACATTTCACAGCTATCATGGAATCCATGCTGTGCTATTCTGGGTAGGCTGGAAAGAGAATTCTAGCTTGTGTTGGAGAGACTCCACACAGGGGAGTAGAAAGGGATGGGGGATCTTCAAATCGGTGGGATCTCATAGGGCTAATCCAAGAACTAATCCATTATAGGTAGCAATAAGGCACAGCAGGAGAGAACAAGGGGTGGGATGGTGGCTTGAGATGGGGGGCTCGTGTTAAAGAGGTTGAGGGACAACAGAGGGGGAAATGCAGTATGAGATGGAGAGTAAGGTTTAAAATCTGCGCATGGGTGTTGTTAGCAGTATGTGACCTAGAGGGTAAGAGGGCAAACGGGGGGCTCCAAACCTTGTCCAAGGGTAGGGGATGAGCAAGGGTGATGGGCATAGGTGCAATCAGGCCAAGTGGAGGCAAGATGGAAGCAGTGGAGGTGAGTGAAGGAAGAAAAGGAGGAAGTATGGGTCTAGTCTTGTGGGCAAATATCTTGATTAAAGGGAGAGAGAAAGGAAGAAAAGTGAGACAGGGCAAGGCCAAGGTAAAGGTAGCATAAAGGGAAGGCAGTGGTTGGAGGCAGTGGAAGGACTAGATGAGAGACAGCAAGAGGGAAGGTGGCATGGCTAAGGGATAGAAAGAGTATAAATGGTGACAGCAGGTCTAGGTGGAAGCACAAACCTAAGGAGAAGTGATGATAAAAAGTAGGTAAATGACAGACATTAGGAAGCTTTGAGATGCATGAACCAAAAGAGATAGGGTGACTTCCTTGGATGAAATGAAAAAATGCATAGCTTGAGGAAAGATCATGGGAATGATGTCCATTTGGGGCTCTGATGTCCTGCAGTGAAGGATCACCTCTCAGAGACAGATGAGGTAATATGAGGCACTCAGGAAGGATGGAGAGTGGACCACAGTGGACTGAAGATAGGCTAGACTCCAAATGGGGACCAAGGAGAAGATAAAGATGGCAGAGTAGGCACCTGGCAGATCTCAGAGGAGAGAACCAGAAGAAAGTTCTAATTTCTCGGACAAACATTGTGAGCAGTGACAAAGTAACATGGATAGCAGGGGCAGGGAACAGTGGAAGCTCATATAGCCTTGTAAGTTGGGACAAGGGTAAACTTTTGGCCAGGCTCTATACTACTTAAACCGGATCCGGCGGGATTGGGCTGGGAGGAGGGGATGGGATAGGAGAAGGGATGGGGTGGGTGGTAGGGAAGGGGAGGGAGAAAGGGAAGGGCATAGCTGGGATTTGGGGTGGGGATTGAGATAGGGTGGGCATTGGGTAGGATGGGATTGAACAGGAGGGAAGGGGAGGGATCAATGGGCATTGGGGTGGGGATGGGACTATATGAGCCAAGCTTTAGGCACAGAGAAAACCAACTTTTTTATCTAAGCTTGTGGACTGATTCCATGTCAAATATTGGGGGTAGAAAAGACTAGTGAATCCACCCAGAGAGGAAACAAAAGAGTACCTCCAGGAAAGGAGGGAAGGGAAAGGACAGGTTGGCAGGAGAAAATAGGGAAGTGAGGACCATTACAGCCAAGAAAAACAAAATTCAGAATGAAGATATTGATACAATACCTGAGAGTCAAAAAAAGGGGATGGCAGGAAGAAACTGCAACATAAAAAACAATATTCTAAAGTAGACTAGGAGTTTTGAAATGTCAGGTGGCAGAGAATGTAGGGAAGGGACTGTGGTGATTACAAGAAAAGATTGCTGGGACAGAGTGAGAGGGGGGCCAAGATTGGAAACTTCAAGGAAAAACTGCCAGAGGAAACTACTGGAAAACAAGAGGTGGGCAAGATTGCGCGCTGGCAGCCCAGGAGTCAGATTGACCTTGGAATTTCAGAAGAGGTTGAGAAACTGGAGCCAATCTCCAAGCATGGGAAAAAACATCTTCATTAATAGAGGAAGGTTGATTCGCCATCAAGTATTTAGGGTGATGATAAAAAGGGGGGAAAGCAAGAACAAAAAGGAGAGGGGAAGAGAAGCCCTAAAAAAAGAAGGAAAGGAAAGGTCGGTTTGAGGGGAAAAAATGGGAAGATTCAGGAGCACTAAAGGGGAATACATAAGGATCATAGGGGCAGACAAGGAAAACCAGAGCAAACCAGGGAGAGAAATTAAAAAGATGAACAGGGAAAAATATTGTTGGCAGAAATCAATAAAGAACTCTGGGGAGACGGACAGAAAAAATGGATAATATCATGGGCTAAGAAGGACAAGAATCTGGATAAAGATATTACCATAAAAAATGAGAGGATTGCTGGGAGGGAGAAACGAGTAGCTCCTGTGTGTGCGTGCATTAGGATTGTGGTCGTGGCGTGAGGAACAATAAGAGTGTCTCTTCAGACTGGCATCTGGACAGGAATGGGGTGTGTGCAAGAGGACAGTGTCCGGACATTGTGGGAATGGTGCCGATGCTGGGACCTTTGAGGAAAATGTGTCAATGGAAAGCTAGGGGCCCAAGGATGAGTGCGGCCCAGGAGTCAGGATGGGCTTCCACAGCAGTGATTCTTCCCTGGGGGGGGTGGGGGAGGGGGGAGGGGATTTCCCCCCAGGGGGGTGGGGTGGGTGGGCACGACCCCCGAGGGAGGCCTATCACAACATCCGAAGTGGGAGCAGCACACTGCTCTAAATCACAAAACCACCCAAATAAAAAAAATTCTAAAAAAAAAAGAATACCCAAAGATGTTGCTGATAGGCGGACTTGGGGGGTTATGCACCCTCAGGTGAGAATCACTGCGTGGAAGTGGCAGAGAGGAGACCAGGGCAGAGAGGAGAAGCATGAGCAGAGGGGCTCCTGAGTGGTAGAGATGGAGGCATGAGAGTCAAGAATGTCAGAATGGGGTCAAAGGATCCTGGACCAGGCAGACAGCGAGCCAATGGATGTAGCCAAGAAATGTCCTGGGAGGATAGGGGGTGGCACCCCGGGATTCACCTGGAGTGAGTAGGGAGTGGAGCACCAAGCTTTGTTCCTGCAACTGAGGCCTCTTGAGGAGAAAGGCTGAGGGAGACACGAGTGACAAACGGGGAATTTAGGGCGGACCAATGCGGTCACAGAGCACGTGGAGGGCCAGAGAGCAGAAGCAAGGCCCAGCTGGGACTGGAGATCATCTGGGAGAGACCCCATGGCTGGCAGAGGAAGGAGAGCTTCTAGAAGGGTGCAAGGCGAGACCCAGTGGAGGGCTGTGTGCATGAGGAGACTGAGCGCCATGGTGTCAGGCATGGCTGAGCAGGCACGGGACAAGACAGAGGGCTGAAGGTCAAAGACCCAGTGCAGAGGTTCCCAAACTTTTGTTGCCCACGCCCCTCCTAAGCATCTCTAAAATCCTGATGCTTGCCCCCGCCCGTGACTTATAATTGCCATTATTCCAAATGTAAACTCCTATTGGCTTGGAGGACACCTCAAAGGCCACTGACTTGGTCTAAATAATCTTCCAAAGAACATGGCACCCATGAAAGAGAAAAATGAAAGAACAAAAGGACACTTGAAGTATGGAGGAAGAAATAACCCCAACATGTTTTAAAAAAATCACATTTCCAAGTGATATCCAATTGGAACAAATAATCTTTTAAAACCTATCACGGAGAACTGAACTGCATCAATACGTCACCACAGATACTTCTATGATGTACTTGTATCTGATGCCTCTAGAACCACAAGTAGTGCAAGAAATGCACCCTTAATAACTCCTTCTCAAATCAGGCCCCGTTCTTCCAAATTGTCCCACTGAGAACGGTTGGAACCACTGACCTAGACTGATAAAGCAGAGGTAGGGGAATGAGCGGAACAGGCTCCCCAAGGGCAGCGTCCCAGGAATGTGCAACAGAGGGGTCCCGGTGGAGAAAGGAAAGCTTACTGGGAACCATGTTTGCCTCCAGGGAGGAAGTCACACTGCGGGTTCACAGGATGTGAGCAGAGGGCATTGGGCAAACATGCTGATGCAGGACAGTATACGGAGGCCAAGGAGACTGCACTGGGCTGTGAAGAAGGTGGGCAATGACTTAAGGAGCACACAGAACACTACATGACGGGTTTCAGCCAGGAGATGCAAAGACTGTGACTGCAGAAAAGTCACGTGGCACAGGAAGGACAGTTGTCTTGCTAGGTATGCGGTAGACAAGCAAAGCGGCATAGATGATGACCCCGGTGCCAAGAGCTAGGCCATCAGGTGAGCAGATTCAAACTGTGGGAGAGCGTAGTAGTAGAGGGGACAAATTCCAAGGGGCAAAAAGAGTGAGAAAGGACAGGGAGACCAACCAACGCACTGCACCCAAAGCAAAGAATGGCAAAAAGGGCAACATGGGTGGCCACTAGGAGAAGGCAGCAAGTCTTAAGCCCCTGAGTGACACCTGAATGTGAAGGAACCCACCCAGGGGAAGCTCACAGAGTAGTGGGTGAGGCCAAAGAGCAATGCCGGCCTGGTGGGATGAGGTCCCAGGAGGATGAGGTGTGGAGAAGTGGCCCATGCAAAAGCCTGGGGACCACCGTGGCTGTGTGGAAGGATCATGCCAGGGCTCTGGCAGGAGGAATGAGGTAGAGAAAAGGGATAATATCGTGTGCTGAGAAGGTCCAAGTTGCGGACAGAGGTACTTCCACAAGGCATGAGAGTCATAAAGTCAGGGAGGAACGAGTAGCTCATGTGTGTGCGTGCATTAGGATTGTGGTCGTGGCGTGAGGAACAATAAGAGTGTCTCTTCAGACTGGCATCTGGACAGGAATGGGGTGTGTGCAAGAGGACAGTGTCCGGACATTGTGGGAATGGTGCCGATGCTGGGACCTTTGAGGAAAATGTGTCAATGGAAGGCTAGGGGCCCAAGGATGAGTGCGGCCCAGGAGTCAGGATGGGCTTCCACAGCAGTGATTCTTCCCTGGGGGGGGTGGGGGAGGGGGGAGGGGATTTCCCCCCAGGGGGGTGGGGTGGGTGGGCACGACCCCCGAGGGAGGCCGATCACAACATCCGAAGTGGAAGCAGCACACTGCTCTAAACCACAAACCCACCCCCACAAAAAAAAAATTCTAAAAAAAAAGAATACCCAAAGATGTTGCTGATAGGCCGCCTTGGGGGGTCATGCACCCTCGGGTGAGAATCACTGCGTGGAAGTGGCAGAGAGGAGACCTGGGCAGAGAGGTGAAGCATGAGCAGAGGGGCTCCTGAGTGGTAGAGATGGAGGCATGAGAGTCAAGAATGTCAGAATGGGGTCAGAGGACCCTGGACCAGGCAGACAGCGAGCCAATGGATGTAGCCAAGAAATGTCCTGGGAGGATAGGGGGTGGCACCCCGGGATTCACCTGGAGTGAGTAGGGAGAGGAGCACCAAGCTTTGTTCCTGCAACTGAGGCCTCTTGAGGAGAAAGGCTGAGGGAGACACGAGTGACCAACGGGGAATTTAGGGCGGACCGATGCGGTCACAGAGCACGTGGAGGGCCAGAGAGCAGAAGCAAGGCCCAGCTGGGACTGGAGATTATCTGGGAGAGACCCCATGGCTGGCAGAGGAAGGAGAGCTTCTAGAAGGGTGCAAGGCGAGACCCAGTGGAGGGCTGTGTGCACGAGGAGACTGAGCGCCATGGTGTCAGGCATGGCTGAGCAGGCACGGGACAAGACAGAGGGCTGAAGGCCAAAGACCCAGAGCAGAGGTTCCCAACCTTTTGTTGCCCACGCCCCTCCTAAGCATCTCTAAAATCCTGATGCTTGCCCCCGCCCGTGACTTATAATTGCCATTATTCCAAATGTAAACTCCTATTGGCTTGGAGGACACCTCAAAGGCCACTGACTTGGTCTAAATAATCTTCCAAAGAACATGGCACCCATGAAAGAGAAAAATGAAAGAACAAAAGGACACTTGAAGAATCGAGGAAGAAATAACCCCAAAATGTAAAAAAAAAAATCACATTTCCAAGTGATTTCCAATTGGAACAAATCATCTTTTAAAACCTATCACGGAGAACTGAACTGCATCAATACGTCACCACAGATACTTCTATGATGTACTTGTATCTGATGCCTCTAGAACCACAAGTAGTGCAAGAAATGCACCCTTAATAACTCCTTCTCAAATCAGGCCCCGTTCTTCCAAATTGTCCCACTGAGAACGGTTGGAACCACTGACCTAGACTGATAAAGCAGAGGTAGGGGAATGAGCGGAACAGGCTCCCCAAGGGCAGCGTCCCAGGAATGTGCAACAGAGGGGTCCCGGTGGAGAAAGGAAAGCTTACTGGGAACCATGTTTGCCTCCAGGGAGGAAGTCACACTGCGGGTTCACAGGATGTGAGCAGAGGGCATTGGGCAAACATGCTGATGCAGGACAGTATACGGAGGCCAAGGAGACTGCACTGGGCTGTGAAGAAGGTGGGCAATGACTTAAGGAGCACACAGAACACTACATGACGGGTTTCAGCCAGGAGATGCAAAGACTGTGACTGCAGAAAAGTCACGTGGCACAGGAAGGACAGTTGTCTTGCTAGGTATGCGGTAGACAAGCAAAGCGGCATAGATGATGACCCCGGTGCCAAGAGCTAGGCCATCAGGTGAGCAGATTCAAACTGTGGGAGAGCGTAGTAGTAGAGGGGACAAATTCCAAGGGGCAAAAAGAGTGAGAAAGGACAGGGAGACCAACCAACGCACTGCACCCAAAGCAAAGAATGGCAAAAAGGGCAACATGGGTGGCCACTAGGAGAAGGCAGCAAGTCTTAAGCCCCTGAGTGACACCTGAATGTGAAGGAACCCACCCAGGGGAAGCTCACAGAGTAGTGGGTGAGGCCAAAGAGCAATGCCGGCCTGGTGGGATGAGGTCCCAGGAGGATGAGGTGTGGAGAAGTGGCCCATGCAAAAGCCTGGGGACCACCGTGGCTGTGTGGAAGGATCATGCCAGGGCTCTGGCAGGAGGAATGAGGTAGAGAAAAGGGATAATATCGTGTGCTGAGAAGGTCCAAGTTGCGGACAGAGGTACTTCCACAAGGCATGAGAGTCATAAAGTCAGGGAGGAACGAGTAGCTCATGTGTGTGCGTGCATTAGGATTGTGGTCGTGGCGTGAGGAACAATAAGAGTGTCTCTTCAGACTGGCATCTGGACAGGAATGGGGTGTGTGCAAGAGGACAGTGTCCGGACATTGTGGGAATGGTGCCGATGCTGGGACCTTTGAGGAAAATGTGTCAATGGAAGGCTAGGGGCCCAAGGATGAGTGCGGCCCAGGAGTCAGGATGGGCTTCCACAGCAGTGATTCTTCCCTGGGGGGGGTGGGGGAGGGGGGAGGGGATTTCCCCCCAGGGGGGTGGGGTGGGTGGGCACGACCCCCGAGGGAGGCCTATCACAACATCCGAAGTGGGAGCAGCACACTGCTCTAAACCACAAACCCACCCAAAAAAAAAAAAAAAGTCTAAAAAAAAAGAATACCCAAAGATGTTGCTGATAGGCCGCCTTGGGGGGTCATGCACCCTCGGGTGAGAATCACTGCGTGGAAGTGGCAGAGAGGAGACCTGGGCAGAGAGGTGAAGCATGAGCAGAGGGGCTCCTGAGTGGTAGAGATGGAGGCATGAGAGTCAAGAATGTCAGAATGGGGTCAGAGGACCCTGGACCAGGCAGACAGCGAGCCAATGGATGTAGCCAAGAAATGTCCTGGGAGGATAGGGGGTGGCACCCCGGGATTCACCTGGAGTGAGTAGGGAGAGGAGCACCAAGCTTTGTTCCTGCAACTGAGGCCTCTTGAGGAGAAAGGCTGAGGGAGACACGAGTGACCAACGGGGAATTTAGGGCGGACCGATGCGGTCACAGAGCACGTGGAGGGCCGTAGAGCAGAAGCAAGGCCCAGCTGGGACTGGAGATTATCTGGGAGAGACCCCATGGCTGGCAGAGGAAGGAGAGCTTCTAGAAGGGTGCAAGGCGAGACCCAGTGGAGGGCTGTGTGCACGAGGGGACTGAGCGCCATGGTGTCAGGCATCGCTGAGCAGGCACGGGACAAGACAGAGGGCTGAAGGCCAAAGACCCAGAGCAGAGGTTCCCAACCTTTTGTTGCCCACGCCCCTCCTAAGCATCTCTAAAATCCTGATGCTTGCCCCCGCCCGTGACTTATAATTGCCATTATTCCAAATGTAAACTCCTATTGGCTTGGAGGACACCTCAAAGGCCACTGACTTGGTCTAAATAATCTTCCAAAGAACATGGCACCCATGAAAGAGAAAAATGAAAGAACAAAAGGACACTTGAAGTATCGAGGAAGAAATAACCCCAAAATGTAAAAAAAAAAATCACATTTCCAAGTGATTTCCAATTGGAACAAATAATCTTTTAAAACCTATCACGGAGAACTGAACTGCATCAATACGTCACCACAGATACTTCTATGATGTACTTGTATCTGATGCCTCTAGAACCACAAGTAGTGCAAGAAATGCACCCTTAATAACTCCTTCTCAAATCAGGCCCCGTTCTTCCAAATTGTCCCACTGAGAACGGTTGGAACCACTGACCTAGACTGATAAAGCAGAGGTAGGGGAATGAGCGGAACAGGCTCCCCAAGGGCAGCGTCCCAGGAATGTGCAACAGAGGGGTCCCGGTGGAGAAAGGAAAGCTTACTGGGAACCATGTTTGCCTCCAGGGAGGAAGTCACACTGCGGGTTCACAGGATGTGAGCAGAGGGCATTGGGCAAACATGCTGATGCAGGACAGTATACGGAGGCCAAGGAGACTGCACTGGGCTGTGAAGAAGGTGGGCAATGACTTAAGGAGCACACAGAACACTACATGACGGGTTTCAGCCAGGAGATGCAAAGACTGTGACTGCAGAAAAGTCACGTGGCACAGGAAGGACAGTTGTCTTGCTAGGTATGCGGTAGACAAGCAAAGCGGCATAGATGATGACCCCGGTGCCAAGAGCTAGGCCATCAGGTGAGCAGATTCAAACTGTGGGAGAGCGTAGTAGTAGAGGGGACAAATTCCAAGGGGCAAAAAGAGTGAGAAAGGACAGGGAGACCAACCAACGCACTGCACCCAAAGCAAAGAATGGCAAAAAGGGCAACATGGGTGGCCACTAGGAGAAGGCAGCAAGTCTTAAGCCCCTGAGTGACACCTGAATGTGAAGGAACCCACCCAGGGGAAGCTCACAGAGTAGTGGGTGAGGCCAAAGAGCAATGCCGGCCTGGTGGGATGAGGTCCCAGGAGGATGAGGTGTGGAGAAGTGGCCCATGCAAAAGCCTGGGGACCACCGTGGCTGTGTGGAAGGATCATGCCAGGGCTCTGGCAGGAGGAATGAGGTAGAGAAAAGGGATAATATCGTGTGCTGAGAAGGTCCAAGTTGCGGACAGAGGTACTTCCACAAGGCATGAGAGTCATAAAGTCAGGGAGGAACGAGTAGCTCATGTGTGTGCGTGCATTAGGATTGTGGTCGTGGCGTGAGGAACAATAAGAGTGTCTCTTCAGACTGGCATCTGGACAGGAATGGGGTGTGTGCAAGAGGACAGTGTCCGGACATTGTGGGAATGGTGCCGATGCTGGGACCTTTGAGGAAAATGTGTCAATGGAAGGCTAGGGGCCCAAGGATGAGTGCGGCCCAGGAGTCAGGATGGGCTTCCACAGCAGTGATTCTTCCCTGGGGGGGGGGGGGGGGGGGGGAGGGGATTTCCCCCCAGGGGGGGGGGGTGGGTGGGCACGACCCCCGAGGGAGGCCTATCACAACATCCGAAGTGGAAGCAGCACACTGCTGCAAACCACAAACCCAACCCAAAAAAAAAAAAATTTCTAAAAAAAAAGAATACCCAAAGATGTTGCTGATAGGCCGCCTTGGGGGGTCATGCACCCTCGGGTGAGAATCACTGCGTGGAAGTGGCAGAGAGGAGACCTGGGCAGAGAGGTGAAGCATGAGCAGAGGGGCTCCTGAGTGGTAGAGATGGAGGCATGAGAGTCAAGAATGTCAGAATGGGGTCAGAGGACCCTGGACCAGGCAGACAGCGAGCCAATGGATGTAGCCAAGAAATGTCCTGGGAGGATAGGGGGTGGCACCCCGGG